CATGAACATATGCAAACAGATGACATATTAGCCAATCAAAGCTTGAAGTACATAATAAAGCTAACAAATTCTGATCAATTTGAAAATGCCAGTTCGAATTTCTATTCAAATAAATCTATATAATTCACAATACAGAGGGAAAATCCTCTGATCATCTCACACTGGAACTCATATCAAATTAGAACAGAAGGGAGTTTTCCATAATCTGATAAGGAGGACTCATCACAAAAGAATGAAGCCCCTCTAGAAAACACGGCACTCAACAGCAGCAAATGGGGAGAAAATGCTATCATCATAGCAACCCAACGCTAGTGAAGTCCTAGCTGGTTCAACCCAAGGCAGCAAGGAAAAGGCAAAACAGCAATTCAACTGAGGGGGGAGAAGTCGTCAGTATTTACAGATGACACGAATCTATATGTTGAATACCAAAATCAATTCACTAATAATTAGAGTGTGTGAGTTTTGCAAGCGAGCATCATTGACACCTCCCAACCTGGGAGTTCTTAAAGATCTAGAGTACATTCATCTCTGCATGTGTATCAAACATCAATAAAAAGATTTTTTAAACAATTCCAAATAACAGACCTTACAGGAAGCTTTAAGTATACACATCTTATGCTATGGGGCAGATGGAGATTAAAATTCAAACGAAAACTTGTTAGAATTATTTGGAAAGATGGCTGGCCACTTACAGCATTTACAGATAATTTAAAGATAGTTTATACGTACGTACAATGCATCTGGATTGATGTCACCCTTTTCCTCATCTCCCCCACGAGTCCCAATCCAACCCCTCCTGTCAATTTCCCTAGCTTCAGAGCCCGTGCACTGAATAGTACGGCTGCCTTCTCCACCCCTTTCCTCTCTTCATTTGTCTACCTCATCCCCTTGGTCTCCTGCAGGGAAAAAATCCTAGGCACCAAAGGCCCCTTTTAAGGGACAAGCAATTGGGTGCCATTGGCCACTGGTGGGCCAAAAAGCGAGTGTCACTGACCTGTGGTGGCTGAGGCAGGCGAGCTCACGGTTCCTCTCAGTTGTCCCTGCAGTGACTGAGAAACACGCTGGCTCACCTGCTGGACCTACAACTATAGGCTGAGCCCAGGCAGAAGACCGGCCAACTTTACCTCCCACCTCAGGCAGACTAGGAGCCACACAGCGTCTCATGGCTGAGCCTGCAGGGCCAGCAGATCCTGCTTCTACACACGTTTGTAGCCAGACAGGTCTCATCTGGCCCTGCCAGGGGGCGACCTAGTGTCAGGATGACAGTCCCCGTGCCCCACGCTGCCCTGTCCAACATGGAACTAGGAAGGCTCTTTAGAGGTAAAGAGCCGCTGCAGCGATGTCTCCACTGCCCATCCCAGCTCGGTGGCAAGGGCCTGCTTCTCCTCTGTGTGGAAGGCTGGTCTTGATATCCCTGCTTATGGAAAGCAAGCTTTCACTAGGCAAAATTGGCAACAATTTGGTTCTACCTGGCAGGGCACTGGATACGTCAACTTGCTAGGCCTACCTCCAGTGAGTCAATCAAAAATGGATCCAGGTGCTACTTAGAGGATCTTTGCAGATGTGAGCCAATGGAGACTGACTAGTTAAGGTCAGCTAGGTGGCCTTTACCCTGCCAGTTAAAAGGCCTTCAGGGGGCAGAAGCTTTCCCAGGTGAAGGAATCCTAGTGTAGACAGCAGTCCATGTCACATGTAGGAGAGGCCTACCCATCTGAAAGCCAGCAGTCCATTTCAATGCTTGACTACTTGATGGTCTCCCACCTGAAGGATACTCCACCCTGTCCATTTGAAAGCCTGTTCATCAAAAGGCTCAACTACCTGGACACCCCATCAATCTGAAGGCCTGTCTACCCAAGGTCTAACCACCTGAAGGACTGCCCATCCAAAGGCCTGTCCATCTGAAGTTATGACACCTGAAGGCCTGATCCAGCTCGAGACCCAAGTAACTGAAAGCAAACCTCCCTGGAGGCCTGTTCATCTGAAGGCCTATCCTTTAGAAGGCTCAGCGAGCCGAAGGCCCATCCTCCTGAGGGATCGTACATCCAAAGGCCTGTCCCTCTGAAGGCCTACCCACTTTTCAGGTAGTTACCTGAAAGCCTAGCCACCTAATGCCTCCTCCATCTGCAGACATGACACAGACCCTGGACAGCTGGCCAGCCCCACAATTACTGAAATTAGATATCTGGGGACCACTGTGACAATCTGTAAAACCAGCAGCTCGTTACGTGTGTGCTGTGTCCCAACCTGACACTGCAGGGAGCGTGGCAGAGGGGCGCCGGCTGCCACCGCTGGGGGACCATGAGGACTGTAAGAGTGACATCCACACAGCCACCCAATAGCAAGTGACATCACGCCCATCCCTGACACAACATGGCTGAGAGACCGCAGAGAAGTACAAGCTGCAAAGGTATCTGTTTTGTGATTTCATTAACATTATGCTAACATATGGATAAAGCAAAAATACACACATGTTTTGGGGTACAAATACGATAAAGCTTAAACGCCTATAGTGAAAGTTTGGAGAATAACAGATATGTGTGCTAGGCAGCCTCCTCAGCGAAGCTAGTGGAGCAGGGGCTGGGACCAGGGAACCCAAACGCACCTCTTCTATAAACCGTCACATAGCTATTACTCGATTCTGTTTTAGGCTTGTGCATGTCTGACCTATGTTTTATAAATAGTCCTTTATATATGTTCAATATTAAGAATTTTAAAGAGTGAAATTTTCAAAAAGCTTGAAGATCACTTGTTAGTATTTTTACTGAGAAATACTCAGGGTCACAGGCAGGGTGTGGTGGATTCTGACAAGCTGCACAAAGTTGGGAAGTGGCATCAATGTACATGTCCCCAACAGTCACGTGCAGGCCTCTGTCCAGAGCCTCTGTATGGAAGGAGGCCCAGAGTCAAGCTGAATCAGGCTGCTGACCGAGGGAGGGCTCAGCACGCAGCCCCACCCCTACCTGGGATGGAGGAGTGTGAAGAGTTCTGTTTCACTGGTTCCTCAGGGAAAGGCATATTAACCTTCAGGAGGACCCTAAAGCAAGCTCAGCGGGGCCTGTCTGGAGACAGGTCCTGATGTGTCACTCAAAACCATCTTTGTACACATAAACTCTAGGGTGGAGGCACCACGGTTCAGCACCTCAGAAATGGAGGCTCAAAAGGTCTCCTCATGCTGAACATGGTCCTCACAAGTCCCAGCCCAAGGGGCTCTTGATCCAGTGGCTGAACACTCCAGGTCTCCTCCTGCTCAGCGTCAAGTCCAGCCTCTCCCTAGATCGCGAAAACAGCCACAGGCAGCACAAACGGCTGGCCCGCGTGTGAGCAGCCGCTGGGCACCGGCAGCTGTGCGGGGGCCACCCACAGGCAGCACAAACGGCTGGCCCGCGTGTGAGCAGCCGCTGGGCACGGCAGCTGTGCGGAGCCAGCCACAGGCAGCACACATGGCCGGCCCGCGTGCAAGCAGCCGCTGGGCACCAGCAGCTGTGTGGGGCCAGCCACAGGCAGCACACACGGCTGGCCCACATGTGAGCAGCCGCTGGGCACGGCAGCTGTGCGGGGCACCCACAGGCAGCACACACGGCTGGCCCGCGTGTGAGCAGCCGCTGGGCACCAGCAGCTGTGCGGGGCCAGCCACAGGCAGCACACACGGCTGGCCCACGTGTGAGCAGCCACTGGGCATGGCAGCTGTGCGGGGCACCCACAGGCAGCACACACGGCTGGCCCACATGTGAGCAGCCACTGGGCATGGCAGCTGTGCGGGGCACCCACAGGCAGCACACACGGCTGGCCCACATGTGAGCAGCCGCTGGGCACCGGCAGCTGTGCGGGGCCAGCCACAGGCAGCACACACGGCTGGCCCACATGTGAGCAGCCGCTGGGCACCAGCAGCTGTGCGGGGCCAGCCACAGGCAGCACACACGGCTGGCCCACATGTGAGCAGCCGCTGGGCATGGCAGCTGTGCGGGGCACCCACAGGCAGCACACACGGCTGGCCCACATGTGAGCAGCCACTGGGCATGGCAGCTGTGCGGGGCACCCGCCACAGGCAGCACACACGGCTGGCCCACATGTGAGCAGCCGCTGGGCATGGCAGCTGTGCGGGGCACCCACAGGCAGCACACACGGCTGGCCCACATGTGAGCAGCCACTGGGCATGGCAGCTGTGCGGGGCACCCACAGGCAGCACACACGGCTGGCCAGCGTGCGAGCAGCCGCTGGGCACCGGCAGCTGTGCGGGGCCAGCCACAGGCAGCACACACGGCTGGCCCGCGTGCGAGCAGCCGCTGGGCACCGGCAGCTGTGCGGGGCCAGCCATAGGCAGCACACACGGCTGGCCCGCGTGCGAGCAGCCGCTGGGCACGGCAGCTGTGCGGGGCCAGCCACAGGCAGCACACACGGCTGGCCCGCGTGCGAGCAGCCGCTGGGCACGGCAGCTGTGCGGGGCCAGCCACAGGCAGCACACACGGCTGGCCCGCGTGTGAGCAGCCGCTGGGCACCGGCAGCTGTGCGGGGCACCCACAGGCTCAGGTCTGCTTTTAAGGCACTCAGCAACCACTCGTGACAGAGAGCGACGGTGAACATGCACAGCAGACTGCACTATGTCTTTTAATGCTCCCCACGTGCCTGAGGAGTACCTGGCAGTCTGAAATGACAGAATCAAGCCAAGTCACGTGATGCCCCTCGCACTGCCAGTATGCGTATCCTTCCCAAGCCCCATGTGGAGACAAAACCAGGGTGCCAGATCAACTCCAGGACAAAGGGCAGACTGGAAATCAAGTGAGGAACACTAACCTGCTCCTACCAGAGGTGGCAGGCTTCTCCACAGAGCTGTTCATGAGCATCCCTGATAGGCAACTAGGACGTCACCAAGGGGCCCTGGACCCTCGCCAACTCTCCCTCTCTCTTGCCCACCCTTCCTCCTTCTCCTTCCCCTGACCCCACACTCCCTCTCTCCTGCCCTCCCTCCTGCCCTCCCCTCCTTCCACTGACCCCACACTCACTCTCTTTGCCCTTCTCCTTGTTCTTGAGCTGCTGCAGTTTCTGCTCGCGGTGCTGCTTCTCCAGCTCCTGCTCCTGGCGGTGCCGCTCCAGCTTACGCTGGTGCTCCAGCAGCTCCTGCTGGTGCTTCATAGCCAGCATCTCCTGCTGCTGCTACAGGTGGAGAAGGACAGACATCAGAGCCTTGGATCCACAACACCAAGGAGCCAGCCAACCCACCGTCCAGCCTGGGGCCTCTCCAGGTGCACCTGTGTCGGCACGACCCTCATGCCTCACAAAAGTAGCCATAGACAAGGAAGGGCTGCAGAGACTGCTGCACCCTCTACCCTTTAGGTGGGCACCACTAAATCACTGCAAGAGAACAGGCAGGAAGAGTGGGCAACCTTGAAAAGATACTTCTTTAAGAATGTCCCAGTCTAGACACCTGCTGAACATTTCCTTAGGTAGAACACAGCTGCCTGAAGACCTGGCAGCTCAGCCCAGGACTCCAGCTGGTGAGGAAGCGCATCTACCAAGGGCCTGCAGAGGAACACGCATGAACTTCTCCCACATGAGCCATAGGACCCAGGCACCAGAACACACGCACACACCACGCACCCTTACCAGGCAGGTTTAACAGGCCCAGGGAGGGCGTCAAGGCACATAAGGAAGGAAGCACAGAAGTCAGTGCTATGCTCAGATTTAAGACAGGAAAAACGACTATGTCCTGACCACGACGAGAAGGCTGCAGGGGAGGACGGGGCTGTCGGGGAGTCCTGGACGAGAAGGCTGCAGGGGAGGAGGACGGGGCTGTCGGGGAGTCCTGGACGAGAAGGCTGCAGGGGAGGAGGACGGGGCTGTCGGGGAGTCCTGGACGAGAAGGCTGCAGGGGAGTCCTGGGCAGGGGCCCTCTCTCTGCCTGTGGATGGAGGGCTCCCGGGGCTCCCAGCTGCCAGACACAGTACTCACACATGCCTGAGAGCGAGAACTCAGAATTCAAAACATAACATAAAAATCTTCAGTATCTTTATAATGAAGAAAATTAATATACAAAACGTAAGAAAAACAATATTTGCTATCAAGTAAGCCAGATAAAACTACATATGAAGTCATGAATTAACAAGAGTCTAAGAAGCAGGCTGCTAAGAAGGTAGGTCAAGAAGGAGAGGGTCCCTAGAAGCAGTAGAAGTAAGTGGGAAACACTGAGCTGCACCGTATCCAAATACTGTGCTGGAAAAGGGCGGGCCCACCGGGCTCTGGCGCCTCAGCCACTTGGGGTGAAAGGGCGGGCCCACCGGGCTCTGGCGCCTCAGTCACTTGGGGTGAAAGGGCGGGCCCACCGGGCTCTGGCGCCTCAGTCACTTGGGGAGCAGAGCCCTGAGCTCCCTATCCCAGCCCAACACATGCTGTATCCTGTGTGGATCTGTGGCTGGTTGCTGGCCTTGCTCCCTTGCAGAAAGAAGAGAGGGGAGATATGGAGCCATGAAAACACAACTGGTAGCCAGGTGGCCCACAGAACTTTCTATGGGGAAAAATCTAACCTGCAGCCATGCTTCCACTATATGTGCTCAGTGTCCAAGGATGAGGATGGACTGAAATGTCCTTTCAGCCGCTCGGACTACAGCACTGATCAACAATGGGAAGGCAGTGACGATGTAGCTGGGACACATGGAGGGCTCTTGGGAGTGCTCTGTACTGAGTGACACCGGAGGTGCTTTACAAAAGAAGAGACCAAGGCATAGGTGAACCAAGTACTCGATGAGTGAGGGCCTCTGCCAGGCCGGCTGGCTCCAGAACAGAGTGCAGGGTATGCGGATAAGCGAGGGAGAAGAACATACACAGTTAACAGCTGGTCCATCTGTGCGTAAAAATGCACTCATGGGCACGGAATTGTTCCAAGTGTCGTGTGCATTGACATGTGCATGTGTATGGTTGCATGCATGCATGTGTATGATCTTGGTGCACTGGTGCATGCAGTAAGGCTCCCATCCCGGTGGGTACCACCCCTCACAGACCTCTGGCAGGGCCCTTAGAGGGCAGTGGATCCAAGGACGGCTCTACGATTTTTCCAAGAGGCCTGGGCTGACTTGGGAGATCTGTCCGTCTATCATGTAAACACTGTCCCTCTATCCCACAGAGGTGCTGCTGGCCAGTGAAACTACTTGTACCACAACAGAGAAAGATGTCAAGAAGAAATACACAAAAACGACAGACCGTCCAACTTACAAGGGGCAGGCAGTGCACACTGCGAAGACCCATGAAGAACCCCTGGGCCACCACACTTTCCACCAACAGCCTGGGCTGAGGTGCCTCACCCGGGCTCTGCCCACACATCCGACCGAGCTGGCCTCTGTGGCCCATCTGTGCAAGCAGCCTGATGTCAGAGCTCCCACAAGACTCAAGGGAAGCCCAGGGACAGCACATTGGGCTCTGACCAGAACTAGCCAGTCATGGCCATAACCACACATGACCAGGATTCCTACGTCGAGTGAGGTAGCTGGCAATTGAGACAGCCCCAGTTCAACAGTCCAGGAGATCAGGCAGGGCCTCCTGAGGAAATAAGTCAAGTCACAAACACATCCACCCAGGCCTCGAGGGAGGTAGGAGTCATCTGCAGAGGGGAGCACGTGGACAGAGCCGGAGCAGGCTGTGGGCAGTCCCCGTATCAGCGCAGGAGAGAGGGGAAAGGCTGGCTTAGCATTCCCAGGCAGGGAAGCCCACTCAGACCCATGGGGTAGGGCCCTCACGGACACAGGGATTGCAGAAGGTGACAGAGCCAACAGCAGCGTGGGCAGGCAAAGCCAGCTGGCTGTCCGGGCCTCTTGCTTCGTGAATACCGCGCAGGTACTGCACCCATGCCTCCGTGGGTGTTTCAACAAACAAACAACAACAAACCCTACATTCCAAAGTACCGCTTAAGATGGTTTTCTGGGGGTTGCAGGATCGAAAGAAGCAAGCAGCTTCCACACCTTGCACTGAGCAGAAGAGAATGACAAAAACTGGCCAGCAACACAGTGACAAAAAGACTGGCTGGGCCTCGGTGCGTGCCGGGGCCCTAGCGGGGCTCCCCTCTCGTGGGAGAGCCTTGGCTGGGCCACGGTGCGTGTCCTGGGGCCCTAGCAGGGCTCCCCTCTCGTGGGAGAGCCTTGGCTGGGC